GCGGGTTTTAGGATTGATAAGTTCGATCCAAAAGGAATCATAACACTTAGCCATTATTCCGTTAATTTGTTTAACGACTTTAGAGTCGTTGGTAGTCGCCCGGGGTATATTAGCCTCCCCTTCTTCAAAAGAGTTTGTCCTCAAACTCGGAATTTCTTCAGGCTCAAAGTACGGGCTGATGTCCTTGATGTTGAATGTGGCTGATACCCCATAATCTCCTGGAAGGTTGATTTTGTATGCATTGTCATTGACCTTCTCCAATATCTCAAAAGGACCATCGGCTCTCGGTAACAGTTTTGACTTGCGTTTTGTTGGGAAACGCTCTTTCCTAAGATGAATCCATACGAGATCTCCTGGTTGAAAATGGGCGTCTTTCCTTCCTTTGTTGATGCGCATGCTGATTCTCTCATTCATGGATTCAATCTTCTCTTGAACACTGGCGTGAAGGTCTTTGATTTCCTTTGACCGCTTGTCCGCTTCCCAACTGTACTTGGTTTCCGTGATGATCGGGTCAAGTTCAAGTGGAGTCAAGGGGTTCGAACCATAGAAAACCGTAAATGGAGATAGTCTGGTAGTCTTGTTCGGGGTTCGGTTGTAGGCAAACTTGGCGTGTGGTAGAAGCTCTTCCCACTGCCTGATGTTCTTCTTGATGAGGGCTCGTAAGAGTGTTCCCAGGGTGCGGTTGGTGACCTCGGTTTGGCCATCGGTTTGTGGATGGCTTGACGTACTAAACTTCACTTTAGTACCCAACTTTCTCCATAGGGTCATCCAAAAATGGCTAAGGAATTTTGTGTCCCTATCCGAGACCATGCTTCGGGGAACGCCATGGAGTTTGACTATCTCCCGGAAATAGAGATCAGCAACTTGGGAAGCATCATAGGTGGTGAGACATGGTACAAAGTGGGCCATCTTTGAAAATCGGTCCACGACGACCATGATGGAATCTTTGCCTCGTTGTGTCCTCGGCAGTCCGGTGATGAAGTCCAAGCTGATATCTTCTCATGGAGCAAGGGGAACGGGTAAGGGCAAATGCTTTCCTTGGGGCAGCGACTCACTTTTGGCGAGGTGGCACGTGTTGCATCGCTTGATGAAGTGCTCCACGTCTCGTTCCATCCTTGGCCAGTGGTAGTGTTCCTTCATCATCATGTGAGTCTTATCGACCCCATAATGACCAGCTAGGCGTCCTCCATGAACTTCATCAATAAGGGTTTCTCGAATGTTGCATTTCGGGATGCAAAGTTGGTTGCCTCGGAATAGAAAACCATCCTTGATTAGGAATTCTCCATGTGGCCAAATAAGGCACTTGGAATAAGTGTCCTTGAAGTCTTCATCCTCTTTGTAAAGCTCCTGCAAAAATTCAAAACCAACAAGTTTGGTACTAAGTACCGTTAGTAATAAATGCCTTTGGGACAAGGCATCGGCGCCCTTGTTCATGGTTCCGTTCTTGTGTTTGATGGTGAAGGTGAAGGTTTGGATATACTCGACCCATTTAGCATGCCGAGGTCGGAGTTTATGTTGCCCTTGGATGTATTTTAGAGCATCATGGTCGGAATGTAAGATGAATTCCTTGCTCACGAGATAATGGCGCCAATGCTCAAGTGACCGCACCAATCCGTAGAACTCCTTGTCATATGTGGAATACCTCCTTCTTGTGTCATTTAGCTTCTCGCTGAAGTACGACACCGGGTGCCCTTCTTGGGATAAGACAGCCCCGATTCCAACTCCCGAGGCATCACACTCGACCTCGAATAGTTTGTCAAAACTAGGAAGGGCTAACACAGGGGCATTTGTTAACTGCTCCTTGATTGTTTCGAAGGCCTGTTGGGCCTTGGAGTTCCACTCGAATTTCTAATTTTTTGTCAAATCCGTGATAGGTGCCGTGATGGTGCTAAAATTCTTCACAAATCTCTGGTAGAAAGAGGCCAGACCATGAAAACTCCGAACTTGTTGCATAGTGGTGGGGGTCGGCCATTCTCTAATTGCTTGTGTCTTCTTTTCGTCCACCCGTATGCCTTCACTTGAGATAAAGTATCCCAAGAAATCCGTTTCTTGTGAAAAGAATTGACTCTTTTCGAGGTTGCCGTAGAGTTTCTCCTTGTCCAACTTCTTAACCACCAAAGGGAGGTGATTAGCATGATCTTCTTCATTTTTGCTATAAATCAGAATGTCGTCAAAGTAGACAACGACAAAATGACCTATAAACGGCTTCAAGACCTGATTCATAAGCCGCATGAACGTGCTCGGGGCATTGGTTAATCCAAATGGCATAACCAACCATTCGTATAACCCAAACTTCGTCTTGAACGCTGTCTTCCACTCGTCTCCTTCAAAGATTCGAATTTGATGATATCCACTCCTAAGATCAATTTTTGAAAAGATCTTAGAGCCATGCAATTCATCCAACATGTCTTCCAAACGGGGAATCGGGTACCG